GACCTATGATTGGACTCAGAGTCATTCAAGACCAAGGCATGGCACTGACAGCTATGGGTTAGAAGGAAGAGGTGAAGGAAAAGTCCCCTTGGGATAGCATGGGACTAGGAAGAATTCACAAGAAGCTAGAAACAAATGAGGTGTTAAAAGATGAACGGGGCATGGAAGGAAAGAAAAGGCCACGAGGGTGGGGTGGGAAAATGGGCAGAAAAAGGTAGAGACTGGAGGTGTGGGACTGATAATCTGGAAAGAAGGAATAAAAGCTGGTGAGTCATCAGCAGAAATCTGAAAGAGAGAGAGCAAGACAGGGAGGCAGGGAAGGAGGGATGGAGCGAGGGAAGGTACAAGGTTCCCTGAGTGGTCCCACAGCAGAGGGTGCCATCCCACATGTTAGGGATCAGCTACGGTTGGCAGTGAGTCCATGAGGATGGAGACCATGTGTCTCTTGTTCCCCGTCGTTTCCAGAGCCTAAAAGAAGGGCCGACACAAACCCTCAATAAACGTGGATTAAATAGATGAAAGGGGAAAATCAGCACAGTGGAAAGTGACTGGCAGGCAAAGGAGGAAAAGAGGCTCAAAGGAACAGAGTCAGGTTTTACAAAGTGATCACAGATGGACAGCGGAGGGACTCCTGGTGAAAAAGAAACAGAGGGATCTTCTGGACTGAGACCTGCAAGAGGTGTGGCAGTGGGTGGAGGAGCAGACAGACACTACCTCAGCGGGGAGAAGGGAAAGGATGGGCCGACCAGGATGGAGATGTGTCCTCTTTGCAGGCCCAGACTGGGAAGGCTGGGAGGGACAGGCTGTGGGAAGGTGGACACGCTGCTTCCTCTGAGACAGGGACAATGTGAAAGCAAAGGCTGATGACGACACCTGAGGAAACTAGTTGTCTCTCCCCAGATGGTCTCTGTTTTCTCAACCAAGAGTATGGGTTTGGGGAGAAAAGGATGAACAGAGAACCCCAGGGCCTTAAAGAAAGCTGAGAAGCCTTTCAACTGGCCTATGGGAAAGGGCCAAAGAGTGACTCCTGAGACAGCGGCGAACAGTCCAGCCCTCACCCATGAATGACTTACGGCAACCCAGAGCTGTCACGTAGGTGACAGAGGTAACTGAAGGCCCAATGTTGCTACAGATAACTTTCAGCTTCTCTCCAGTGACCCACCTGGACTGGTCCCTCCCATTCTATCGGACCTAGCCCGAAGTCTAGGGTCCTCAGCATTGTGACCAGGAGGGCGGTATCCATTTCCTGATGCTTTCAAGAACAAGGGGGCTTTACATAAATAATGAGGGGGGCTTTATTGGGCTTTGGGTTCTGGCTACCTTGGTCAACTAGGAGTATCTTTATTCAGCTGTATCGGAATCCCTGGAAAGGCTAAATAAATGCAGAATAAAGACAATGTCGAATGCAGAGCACTTGTTGGGAACACAGGTGCGGGGATGCAAGCATCTGATAAGGGAATTTACCAGGTGATCTCTAAATATCCTTGCAGCCTGACATGCTAGGAAAAATGCTATAAACCAGATTGAAGGCAGATAGAAAGTGAGAAGCAAGGAGAGGACCAACATCCTAATCATTTCCATCAAATAGATCCCACCATTGATGATAAACACATGAGCACAGAAAGGAAAGCACATTTGTGCTTAATCCATCACTAGGGGGACGGGGAAATGAGGCCTGAAGTCAGGTAGCATTATGTTTGTGCAATTCCACCTCACATGACACATTTTTCAATGAGACAGAGAAGGGAATCAGAATGAGGAGACCCCCTGAGGGAGTCACAGTGTGAGCATTTTTCTTCTCTTAATCTTCCTGGTTCCTGCCATCCCCGCAGAGGAGTGACCCTGGCCTTGCCTTCCACATCATAAATGCTCCCCACTTATTTACATGCCAAGACGCATGTGGCTTTAATTATTTATGATAGTGTCTCATTGCATACAGGGATGTCTCTTGGAGTCTGTTCCCTCGACTGATTAAGTCTTGGTTAATCAGAGACCTGCTGCTGGCTCAGCCAGTAAATCTCCACTGAAGACTGGCCTGGGCCCCCCTTCACCCTGTCTGTGTGAGTCACCAAAGGATTAGCAGACGGAGGATTAGCTGAATCCAGCTACGATGCTCCTGCTCATCCTCTGTCATGCCACTCATGTTTTCTGAAAACAATTAGGAGCCATTCTGTCTATTGATAGAACAAAATCTACCACTTCTCTAAAAAGGCTACTTTCCCCTGCATAGGGGGTTCTGATGATCTCGAGCCATCTCATGATATTCCTCTGATAAGACACTGTTTATTTTCCCTGCTCCTTCAAGTCTCATCAATAAATCTGCTGCCTTTCCATTTTCACCATCCTTTTCTCATTTACACAGAACGGTCTGGATCCTTAGAATAGCCACTTTGAATCACAAGTCTAGAGGGCTCTAGAAGGAAGACTTCCTCCATATGGTTTGCCTAGGGTGATGAGTCCTTGGCTATGCCTTGTTTTGACACCAGGGAATGATCACCAGGCCCCATAGCTCCCTCCATGGCTCCCAGGCTTCCATGGGGACACTTATTCTGATGGCCCAGAGGAAACTTGCCTCCAACACACCAGATTCGCCCCATCTGGCAATTGTGCCGATAACCTGGTACCAGGAGCTTCTGCAAGTGGATGTGACCGTGAGATCGCATTCTGCACCAGGAACCCAGAGCTTCCACTAAAGAGGACAGAGGGATCCTCATTATGCACAGATGCTATATTTGGGAATTCACCTACTTTCTAAAATGTATGTGCAACCCCAAAACCAAGACTGAAGGCATTTTTGCAGTCATTGAGGAACTCGTGTGGAGTGACAATATGTGACCCTAGGTGCATGTCTTCAGCTGAGGCTGAACAAAGAGACATCTGCCTTCTTCGTTTTTTTTTTTTTGTTTTTTTTTTTTAATTTATTTTAATTGGGAAAAAACTGTCATCTGTTGTATTTATCACAAACAACACTGTTTTAAAGTTCTTGTTTCAGCTCTCATACTATAAACAACCATTCTTTCTGTGGTCTACTACAGACCGCGGTTTTTACACTTTTGGACTTGGTGCTGCTGACTTTGCAGTTGAGTAGGGTCCCCAAGCATAGTTCTGAAGTGTGGACTAGTGTTCCTTAGCTCAGGACAGCTGTGATGTGCGTCACAGAAGAAAACACGTGTTAGATAAGCTTTGCTCAGGGAAGAGTGACAGTGACCATGGCCATGAGTTCAATGTTAATGAATCAACAATATGCATTAAATGGGCGTCTTTAAACAGAAACATGCATATGACAAGGTTATGTATTGACTGGTTGATAGAATGTGACCAGAGGCTCACAGGAACCTAACCTCATGTCTTCCCTAGGAGCAATGGTTCAGTGTTCACTAATTTAGTGTTCACAGCGACTTCACAGAACACAACTGCTACAGTTAATGAGAACTGACTGTATATTGGACACAGCAATGTTTATGTCTCTGCTCAAATACCTACAGCACCCTAGAAAACTCAGTATCAACCCTAGACTGAGCTGAACCCAGCTATCACTATACAAGGTCCTTCTTCCCAGTCCCACCCATGCCAGTCCAGGGGTGAGCTTGATCTGAGACAAGAGATTTAGCCAGAGGTGAACTAATCTTTGCTCTGTGTTTCCCAAGGTTTTTCTGAAACACAGGTTTCTCTCTTCCTTGCCCAGCCCTGGTCCAGAACCCAGGCATCCTTTCTCTGATACTGACAGGGAGCATCTGATACACACCGAGACAGATTCTGAAGAACACCCAAGCTTGGGAGGCAAATGATGGCCTTATGCTGACTCAGGCCCAGTCCCAGTCCCTCCTACTGTGACAATGCTCTCCTAAAAATCAGAGCCGGTAAAACCAAGCAAAGGCTGATGGGTTAGCCTAATGCACACTCTGCTGTAAGATGAACCAGCAAGAGCAGCAAGAGTTCTGTGAGCTACCAAGACTGTGGCCCATGTACAGAGAGCTCAGCCCAGGGGCTGAGCAAGACCAGAAAACACCTCTTCCTAGGCCCACGCTGTGATCCACTGAGACATGAAGAGAATCCACTGGGCAGCCCCCCACAGCCTCAGTATTCCTGTCTGTAAGGTGAGGCCTCAACCTAGCCAATCACTTCTGTCTTTCCAGCTCTCAGGTAGACATGGGTGTCCCCGCTCTCCAGGGCCCTCTGTGCCCTCTCCTGAAGCAGTGGATCATTTCCTGGGGGGCAGGAATGGTGGGAGGAGCAGGGGTGTACTTGGGTGCAGCTGGGCCCAGGTTGAACCTGGGCACACAGCATGAGGAACCCTGCTGGATGGACAGCCAGGCCACTGAGGCCAAGCCAGGTCTAGAGAAGAGGGCCTAGCAGGGCTCAGCAGAAGGACAAGGAAGGGGTTTGGAACCAACAGGAGGTGGCAGATGAGAGGGAAACAGGTGCCCTGAGCCCTCTGGTCTGAGTGAGACATCTGCACTGGGGAGGTGAGAGCTCCTAGCACTGGGGCTGTGATCTGAATCTCAGAAAGTGCACCCTTCGGGGCACTGGAGGGGCAGCTAGAGAGATGTTTCCATTCAAAGGTACTCACTGCCCTTCATTCCCTTCCCCCTCATGGAGGCTTGGACAGAGGTTCTGGTGAGTTCAGGGGCTGCTGTCTGAACAGAGTCAGGTTATTTTTCCTGCTTACATAAGCCAGGTCTAGAGAAGAAAACAGTCTCGCTGTGTCTCCTGGCTTATTGGGAGCGCCTCTCAGTACCCATGGTCCTGCTGAACCCAGGTGAAGAAAAGAGGGAAGCAGACTCAGACCCACAGCCCCCCTTCCCAGAGGACTCTGGTCCTGGGGACTCTTGGCTCAGGCTATTCTTACAGTTTTAAGACAAACAGGGAGGGTCTCTTAGAAAGTGGGAGGTTGGCAGGTGGCAAGTCACCCTAGAAGGTTCCAGAACCCCAGGTACATGGTCTATCACCAGCCTCCCACCCCTCCCCAGGAGGGAGAGCATTCCATCCCCGGTACTTACACGTGTCCGGTTTGTGGCAGTTGTGTCCCTGACGGAAGTACTGGGGGTTCTCAATGACCGGGATGCGGGTCATGCCAATGACCACAGTGTCAGGCCCGGCGTCCAGCGACGAGGGCGTGGTGATGCCGTGGTTGATGTGGTGCAGTGGGCTGGCTGAGTCCTCCTCGCCACTGATGACAGCCACGGGACCTGCACATACCAAGAGAGACGCGGGACCTGGTGACGTCACATCCGGCCAGTTCCCAGTCCTACCCACAGACCACCCCCAACTGCTTTTCCCACCATAAACATTTTATTTTTTTTTTCTCCTTTTGGAGGGTGTTTTGGTTTTTGTTTTGTTTTGTTTTTCGTTTTTTTTGATATTTAGTTGTTTAGGTTTCTAGTATATTTTTGATATATCAGATATATATGGCTTACAATTTTTTTTTCCATTCTATCGGGTGCCTTTTTTTTTTTTTTAAATGAGATAGAGTCTCACTCTGTCACTTAGGCTGGAGGGCAGTGGCACAATCTTGGCTCACTGCAACCTCTGCTTCTTGGACCCAAGCGATTCTTGTGCCTCAGCTTCCCAAGTAGCTGGGATTACAGGCCCCTGCCACCATACCTGGCTAATTTTTGTATTTTTAGTAGAGGCAGGATTTTACCATGTTGGCCAGGCTGGTCTCAAACTCCTGACCTCAAGTGATCCACCTGCTTCATCCTCCCAAGGTGCTGGGATTACAGGTGTGAGCCACCACACTCAGCCCACATTTTCTTTATTAGCAAAATCCACTGGAAGAGTATTCCTCAAAGGCACTGCATTCCGAATTCAGAGAAACACCCTAAATTCTCTTTCTTGAGAATTACTCACCCAACAAACCATGGAAACAGCTGCAAAATCAAAGTGAATTTAAATGATCCTAGCATAAATTATTTTCACTTTCTCCCAAATCCAAATTAGTTCAAAATAAGAGTTTTAAATACATTTATTATGTAGTAACAATGGGATTTTTAAAACGACCTAGCAGTATTTTGCACCCTGCCCTTCCTCTTCTTTAAAAATGGCTGATACTGGATTTCACCTCCAGAGGTTCTGATTCAATTGGTCTGAGGGTACGGGCTGGGCATCAGAGTCCCATGTACAACCAGGATCGAGAACCTCTCATTCAAAGAGCCAGAGCCTCTGCAGCTGGCCACGAGACTCCCGGGGAGTATCTGTAGCTTTTACTGAGCTTGGCCATCAACCCTCCATTATTCACAGGGAGGTAAGCCCAGTGTGGGCCTGGACGTAACCTGAACCAAGTTTCACAAACGACGGTAACTAAGCTGCATCACAATTTGCATGCCGGCAGCTGCGCCAGCTGCCTCACTCTTGAAATATCCTCCTTGACCCAATGGCTTCAAAGGAACATCATTTGTGTCTTCACCAACCCCAGCTTCACTCTTGTTGCTTTCTAACCCAAAGAAGAAATCCAATAAGTACATGCAGTTACTCAAAAAGCCCAAGATGGCAAAGACAATTAATGCTGCAGTCTTGGTAGAAGAATGATTCTGTTTGCTGCCATGATTCTCCCACACATACAAATAAAAGTCCTGTAATGTGAATTAGCTGTGACTGTTTGTGGCTTCATACAACTGGCGTTTTAAATGGCTGCTTTGCTAGACACACAGTCCCCAGACAAAGTGCCTGCTGTGATTTGGTTTTGCAGCTTGAACAATATTTCCACTGCAGAAATCCATTACATCTTACTGAAGTTTATGGAGAGAATATTTCCCATCAAATAGCGAGGTGAAGCACCAATGAGGCAGAACTAAATGGGAGACTGGTAAATGCAAATGGAGGACCCTGAATTCCACTCCATCAGCACCGACGGGCTTATTCCAATCCATGACAAATGTCTGACTGTGTTTGGAGACCACGTGGAAACGTAGCTGTAAGTGGTTGCCCAAATACTCGCAATAATCACTTGCCTTGCAAAAAAGAAGCCAGTTCCTGAAAACACCTTGCAAACTTTTTGAAAAACTTTATAGCAAATTCCAGTTAAACAGGGAAAACTAAGCACTGGTTTTTATCCTTCTTACCTCCTCAAACAAATACTAAACATTCCCTCCACTAAAATTTAAAAAAATCAAAAAACATGTGTTCACAAAGAGAAGGAGGAAGAGATAAAAGGAAATAAGATATTTCAGTGATATTTTGAAAAGTCTAAGGAGGCAAGTGGAGGAAAGACGAAAGAGTGAGAGAAGAGATGAACAGCAGGAGTGCAGGGGGAATGTCTGCAGGCAGTCAGTTCTGCTGGAAAGAATCACTACCTGAAGAGACAAGGGAGCCAGGAAGGCTGAGGTGCAGTGGGGCTCTAGGCGGAAACAAGGCGCCCTAGCCATCACCCAGGGCTCTGGTGGTTCACCCAGAGACACTGAACCCAGAAGGCTCAGGGGAGGGCTGTGATGAAGCATCAAGTCGAGCCCCTTCTTCCTGCAATCCTGCCTCCCCACTACCCAATCTCATCTCATACCAGCACCCTGCAGGAGATTAGAGAATACATCTCTGGATGAATTCTCTCAGAAAAATACTTCTCAGTATGGACATTTGGGGATCTCCCGATAAAAAGTCAAGTTCATTCTGTGATCATGCCACAGGGAAGCCTGCCAGTTGGCAAGTTCCACCATGCACACAAGGCAGAATCGTGCTAGTTTTCCAGGGCTCAATTCCTAGATATGAAAAAACAGTTCAGGATCATCAGATACTTCAGCAAAGCTCCAGCATGACAGAGCACAAGACAAGTAGACCGTCAGCGACCTGCAGAAAACAGAGGCAATGCAGGAAGCAGAAGATGATTTTCCAAAAAAAATTACTAATATCCTCAGAGCCGTCAGTGAAAACACTGCATCTATAAAAACAAGGCAGTGTTTAAAACGTGATCAATTAGAGGGTAGCGAAGAGTCCTTGGGAATAACAATCACCAAAATTTTAAAGTTAAAGAAGAGTGGAAAATAAAGTCGAGAAATCTTCCAGAAAATTAAACAAATTGGAAAGAGGTGGTAAATAGAAAAGGAAAGATAAGAAGATCAAAGGTTTGAGAAAGAGATTCAAAATCTAATTATAGGAAATCCCAGAGAGACAAAAATCAGAAAGAGAGAGACAAGGAGAATGAATATGAAGAGATGAATAGAAAACTTAAAAACGTATGGAAATTTCACCCAAATTACTTACCCAGTCTCCAGCACAATTAACACAAAGTATGCATGTATGTGCACAGACACACACACACACACACACACACACACACACACACACACACCAAGGCACACATTTACAAAATGCCCGAAGATGCTAAGAGCTTCCAGGCAGGAGGGATACATTTACAAAGGAACAGCGATCAGAAAGACAATGGAATCATTCTCTATAACAGTGTCACTGTTGTTACCGTACAGAGCGATTGCTTCAACATTTGGATGGGCAACTTTTCAACCTGGAAATCTACACCTAAAAAAATAAATAAATCCAACGTAAGGGCAAAATAAAGGTGATTACAAACGTGTAAAAAGCCGCCTGGCTCATCCCCTCCTTAGGATGCATCTGGAAGAAGGACGTCAGCAGAACAGGGGCAAGCAAGGAAAAGAGGAAACTGGAGATTTAGTATCGTAGAGAGGCAGTCTCAGGCCACAGGGCTACAGGAAGGAGGTGTCTGGAGGGAGAGGTTACAGGATACAGTGATGAGGGCAGGATCCATGCCCGGGCTATCTTGTTTCCTCCAAAGCTCACAAGCCTTCGCTCCAACTACAGACTACTTGCTTTATTAGAACTGTAGGCCACAGACGGCAGGAAGACGCAAAGACCAGGCGATGGAAGTGATGCCCTCAATCCCACCCCTTTCTGTTCTCAGCATACGAAGGTGTGGACTGTTACAGTGACATGGAGGAAGGACACAGAAGAGGGAGAAGTTTGAGAAGATACATCCAGATTTAAACCTTTTGTCAACGGCTGTTTCTTTGAATCTGCTCATGTAAAGTCCATCCATAGCAAGTAGTCAACGAAATGTTCCAAGAGCTTGGGATCTAAAACAGTCTCCACCTTCTCTACACTATTTGAGGATTTCAAAAAGCTGGGGTAAGAACCATAGATGGAAGTGTCCTGCCACAGGCTTGCAAGCCTTGGGAAGGAATGAGGTCACCCAGGAAGACGATGGAGATGAAAGAATAAAGCCAGACATCAGAGCCCTGAGGACCCCGATACCTAAAATGTGGGCATTGGAAGCGGAGCAAGGGGAAAGAGAACTGTCAGAGATGTGGCAAGAAACAGCACTTGGGAGGCCAAGGCAGGCAGATCACCTGAGGTCAGGAGTTCAAGACCAGCCTGGCCAACATGGTAAAATCATGTCTCTGCTAAAAATACAAACATTAGCTGGGCACGGTGGTGCACGCCTTTGATCCAAACTATTTGGGAGGCTGAGGCAGGAGAATCACTTGAACCTGGGAGGTGGAGGTTGCAGTGAGCTGAGATCCTGCCACTACACTCCAGCCTAGGCAACAGAGTGAGAATCCCCATGAAAAAAAAAGAAAATTCAAAGAAGGAGAGTTTCTAGAAGTTCAAGAGACACATACATTGAGGACACATAGAATTAAGCTTGGAAATAGGCCACTGTGTTGGAAAAGGTGGAGGTTACCTTAATGAGAGAAGTTTCCATGGAGTATTAAGGAAAAGTCCAATTACAGTGAGTTGAAGGCTTACTTGGAGAAATCATAATCATTGTGATAATTTTTATTATTGAGTGCTTCCTATACATCAGGCTCTGAAAAGGCAGCTAATCTTATAATGCCTCTGTGACATTGGTACCATCATTTTCCCCATTTTAAAGATGGGGACATTAAGGCATAGAGCAGCGACCTGCCCAAGGACAGATGCCTAGCAGAGAAGTGGTGATGCTGGAACTCAAACTCACATTCTGGCTCCGGAGCCAGTGCTCATAACCCTCAGCCAGCACTGCCTCCCTGAAAGTGCAGACTGTGGGGGAAAGAGTTTGTACAAAGGGATACTTGATCAATTCCGGTACGTCAGCCTCCTCATAAGCAGCTGCCTTCGATTGCAGCTCCCCAAGACCCTTTTTAAAGATGTTCCTCTTGACCCTTGAGAATTGGAACAGGAGTGAGTCACCTCATTAGGCTCGCCCAGATAGATTACAGATAATTCATCCTGTCTTCTTCCCAGC